AGGCTTATTAGCACAAAACGTCCCTACGTTTGACAGTTTGTGTGCAAAACGTCCCAACGTTTCATTTTTTGGCATTTTTGCCCCTATTTCAACGTTTCCGTGCGGCGAACGTCCCTCCGTCCATATACCGTCAGATTTCCCGTTAACTGCTTACCTGGACTCATTTTAATTTGAAACGCCAAGGGTAAAATGGTCAAGCCACTTCACAAATCTCTTCCTTCCCCCATAACACGCACGGTAGACGAACCATCTTCCATTCCATTCCTCTCCACTGTTGACGTCCCTTCGAGCACCCACTTTCTTCAACATCTTCTCGAATCAACCCAAAATATCTCCTCCCGTCGGAGGATAGTATATGGGCGCAGTGAACGGCGAACTGAGAAACGGTAAAGTTTACTGTTCATGCGAAATTTTTTTGATTTCTCGGTTCGAAATTTCTAAATTCGAGTAGTCAAGGCATACTTGCTGTTTTTGATGGAGTATATTCTTGTTTTTCACAGGAAATTTGTCGAATGAAAATGCCTCCTCCGTTTATCAGAGAACCCGGAGACGATACACCAAAATACGGTAAGAACGAAAATGCCTCCTCCGTTTGTCGAATGAAAATGCGTTCTTTGTATGATGTTCTTTGAAATTACACTTCGGAACTCCAATGAAATGGGTTTGGGGAAACACCATCAACACTGTGAGGGTTATTTTTGGGGGTTTGTAGATATTCATCTGCAATTTGCATGACAGTGGTTGGGACTTGAAATTTATGTGGGTTTGATTGGGTTTTGATCATTGTGTGATGTGCATTCCATTATTTTCCGGATTTGATCAGTGTGCATTACGTTGTTTCCATATCACCTTTCACTGTTCATTATCTCATCTCCAAATTTTTCTGCATGCAGGTGCAAAATATGGCTACTTCACTGTTGAATTGCATCATGGAGGCAATTTCTATGTCAAGCCAAACAATTTGACATACGAACATGGTTTAGTGATTTTCTTCGATTTCTTCCATGCATCACTGTTTACGAAATCTAACTTGATGAAGTTCTTAAATGCGGTTGGTCATGGTGTGAAGTTCGAGTTTTACTACAAAAAACGAAGAATGAGTTTAGGTCAGGGGTTGAGGAGATTGGAGAGTGAGAATGATATCAAAGAAATGCTTAAGGATAGAGATGGGCATTCAGTAGTGCAGATATATGTTGTAGCCCCATCACAATTGCATGCATTGCCATTGCATGCATTCCCCTCTGAGGTTGACACTTCGGCTAATGAACGGGAAACAGTAGAAGGTTGTTACATACCTTATGTGGAAGAGAACGAGGATGGAGAGCCTGAAATTGATTGGTTAGATGATTTTTTTGATATGGGTGGTGATATGGGTGTTGAAGATGTGGGTGATATGAGTGTTGAAGGTGTGGGTGATATGGGTGGTGAAGATGATGAAGTTGAGGTTGAAGCTCATAACGATGAACAAAGTAGGGAAGATGAGGTTGAGGGGTTGGTAGAATCTGATTACGATGTTGAGGATCAGCCGGCGGGTAATGTTGAAATCGAGAATGAAAGGGTTAATTTTGATTTTGGATTCGGTGTGGCGGATGAGCATCAGGCTAGGGGTTCAGATACCGACTATGGCGACTCGGACGAGTTGCGAAGCATCGATGGTACAGATGAGGACGATACAACTTCACGAAGAAAGGCTTCGGCTAATGCATTCAATTCAAGGACTGATATGGAGGATCCAAAGTTCAGACGAGGTAAGTTCAACGCAATCTTTACCTTTCTATTAACATTACATTAACCATTCCATTTAAGGACTGATATTCCATTTTCTAATTGTTAGGGTTGGTGTTTGATTCCAAAGCTTTGTTGAAGGCTGCCATAACTTCATATTCGGTTAGAAGCAATAGAGAGATTAAATTCAAGAAAGACGATAAGTGGAGGTTGAGAGCGAAGTGTAAGGGAGACTGTACCTGGGTGTTGTATGCCACCAAGGAGCACAAACGGACAAGTTGGGTGATCAAAACATATGTTGAAGAGCATACGTGCCCCATGGTGTACAAGAATTTTAGAGTAAACTCTACTTATTTAGCAGATAGATACTTATCTGATTGGAGGTCCGAACCAAATATGTCAGTGAGCACGTTCATGGAGAGAGTTAAAAGGGATGGTTTGGGTGATATATCACCTTGGCAAGTGTATAGAACAAAGGAGAAAGCACTTGAAAAGATAAGGGGGACTGTGGTGGATCATTACAAAGTATTGTGGGATTACTGTGAGGAGTTAAAGCGGACAAATAGTGGGACAACTGCTGTAGTTGAGGGTGTTGCTGGAGAATTCAGACGTTTGTATATTTGCCTTGGAGCTTTGAAGGAGGGTTTTACTAGGGGGTGTAGAAGAGTGATTGGTTTAGACGGTTGTTTTCTGAAGACAGAGCAGGGTGGGCAGTTGTTATCTGCAGTCGGTGTGGATGCTAATAACGGCATGTATCCAGTAGCATATGCAGTTGTTGAGGTTGAGAATGGAGAGAACTGGAGATGGTTTTTGGAGTTGTTGAAAGATGACTTGCATATACACAATGCCATGTATTGGACATTCATTTCAGATAAGCAAAAGGGGTTAGTTAATGCGATTGAAGCTTTGTTTGAAGGTTCGGAGCACAGAACATGTGTTAGACATTTGTACAATAATTTCAGTATGTTGCACAAGGGATTGGCTTTAAAGCATTGTCTCTGGGATGCAGCCAGAGCGACTACTGTGCCACAGTGGCTTGAACACATGCAGAAGATGTTGGATCTTGACCCGGCTGCATATGGTTGGCTTGAACCAAAACCAGCATCCCATTGGAGTAAATCCCACTTCAGAGAGTGGACTCAGTGTGACATGCTTTTAAACAATTTGTGTGAAACATTCAATAGCACAATTGTGAGTGCAAGAGAGAAGCCCATTCTGACCATGCTTGAGGAGATTAGGATATACTTGATGAAGAGAATTATAGCTCGTAGAGAGGCAGCTGATAAATGGACATCAGCAATAGGCCCTAGAATCCAAAAAATTCTTGAAAAGCACAGTACACTGTCAAGGTTTGAGTGGGCTGAATATGCGGGGAATGAGAAGTTCCAGGTTCGGCACAATGCAGGCATCGTACAGCATGCTGTTGACCTCAGGGATAGGATTTGTACATGTCGTGCTTGGCAATTATCAGGAATCCCTTGTTGTCATGTCATTGCCTCGGTGGTATCCAGAGGTCTCTGTGTAGTTGATTATGTACATGCCATCTACAAAAAGGATTCCTACTTGATGACATATACGCCTTCAATTTCACCCATCACAGGTCCGAACTCAACCGGATCAGATCCCGAAGTGGTTGTTAGACCACCTGTTTACACGAAAAAGGCTGGAAGGCCGAAAAAGAACAGAAGAAAAGAGCCGAATGAGGTGGAGTCTTCAAGTCAGGCAAAGAGGTCCAGAAAGTCTTCACAACAGGAAATCCCCTCTCAGACAACTTCAACAGGCATGTCCAGTTCAGGGAAGAGAGCAGGCCAAACTCAGACATGTCGAAAATGCGGTGAACCAGGGCACAATAGGAGGAGCTGTAAAGGGGCGCCACCACCAGTAGCAGACAATTAGGGACACATTTTCTGTGTTAATATGTTCTCTGTCCACAACTTCTTTTATTTTTTTTGGGGATTTGGCAGTTTTTGCAACCTAAGGAAGTGGTTGAATTGTAAATGCGTAATTCTGTTCAGTTTAGCCTAAACTGGTGCGGCTAAAGGCTGCCAATTGTATTGCACTTTTTGTTCAGTTTTTTTAGTTTGTTAAATTCCGTTTCTGCTTAAAAATTTTAGTTTTATCTGTTACAAAACAGTTTGCCATGGTTGATTAGTGTGGTTGATTGGTTCTGGAGTTGATGGGGTTATTGGTGTTTTGCTGTGATTGATTTCGGTGTATGCGTTGCTGTGAATGGGTAATGCTTGCAGGATATAGCAGGGACTTTTTTCACAGATTCCCCAAACGTAGGGACGTTATTTACAAAATCGGTCTGAACGTAGGGACGTTATGTGCACATATTTTTCAAACATAGGGACTTTCTGCGCACAAAGTGTTTTAACGTTGGGATGTTTTACGCAAACGGTTTTGTAACCTAGGGACTTTTTCACACGTTCACGATTGGGTAAAAATAGCTTGACAGCTTCTTGTTCTAATGCACATTTTTGGGACTAAAGACGAACAACGGTTTCAGCCGTTGCATAAAACGAAACGATTTTTTGTTTCCATTTTTAGAAGAACCTATTTATTACTCCATATGCGTCGATTGCGTCCAAGAATATGTGGAACTGAGACAGAAGAGGAGGAGGAATTAGGTGAATTCTGCTGTGGTGCGTTGAATTTGAGAAGATTCAAATTCAGATCAGTTGAAAAGACGGGAATTTGGTGAATTCTACTGGAGGTGATAAGCCTGAAATTCAGATAATTTGACAACGCCTGGAATTTGGAAATTCAGTCCCCTTGCTGCTGTTGTTCCTAAGTATGCACGGCCAGTGTGTGGAATGATGGCGGGAAGAGATTAGTGAAGTGGCTTGACCATTTTACCCTAGGCGTTTCAAATTAAAATGAGTCCAGGTAAGCAGTTAACGGGAAATCTGACGGTATATGGACGGAGGGACGTTCGCCGCACGGAAACGTTGAAATAGGGGCAAAAATGCCAAAAAATGAAACGTTGGGACGTTTTGCACACAAACTGTCAAACGTAGGGACGTTTTGTGCTAATAAGCCTTTTTTCATTTAAGGTTACGATTGCTTGGAATGCTTCTCTTGAAAAAACAATTGGTAAAACAAAACTATCATTCGAATCATTATCATCATTGCATGTGTATTGAGTACCCCTTAAATAATATCTTCATCAATAGAAAATTTCATCACCGCTTCATTTTTACTAAGATAGTTTAAAATGTGCTCAACGTCCACAAAATTTCTGTAACGTAGGCTAGAAGTTTAGAATTGCATGAACAATTAATCTTCCAAGATATTAAACTTTGAAACCAATACATGTACACTAATGTTTTCTCTTTTATGTATGTATGTGTGTGATTTTTTGTGTGCTTACATATTAAATTTTGAATTTCACCACATTTAATTGAGCAACATTTTCATGCTGCATTTGGTACATAATAATTAATTGCTAATACATGAATTTAAACATCCATAAAAATTTTTAGATACATGAATGAAAATAAATTTATATATAATAACGCTAGATTCAATAGATCAAGATTCATCAAATTCATGTGAATGTTAATTAATTGAGAATTAATAACATGAAATTCATACATAAAAATGATTTTGTAGTATTTATTAGATATTTAAAAATAAAAAGCAAGGGCTAATTGGTTATAGCTGAGAGATACAAAATATCTTATAACTTTTACAAAGGCAGCATGTCTAAGGCGAGAAATAAAATATTCAGCTTAGTGGAGAGTGCACGCATGTGGAGGGATATTGTTGCGTTTTTTTAATATTGCATGTGTATAATATCGTAACAAGTAATATAGTGGACCTTTAAATCCGAATTATCATTCCTATGAGGATTATACATTAGTGCTTAATTAAAATTTTCTAGCTACTACTTGATGAAAACAAACATTGAATGGTGAATTCTTGTGATTTTTTGATCTAACTACTTGAAAATAGCGAGATGCACACAGATCAATTTAGAATCCAAATATGGAATGAGATATTAGGGCATCACAAATTCATCTATTGATCACCTTTAAATCTTAATTCAAGATTCATAACCAAATGTGGCGTTCGATTAAATTCTTCTATTGTATTCAATTTATTCTCGAAGAGTTCTCATTGAACCAATAACTAATTCGATCACATATCTCAATGTGAGTTAACCTTAGTTAAATGAAATATTAGTTCGAAGAATTCATATAACTATCACAATAATTAGTATAGGTATTTTTACACGTTATACTAAAATACCGAATTTTTTGTGATTTAAATCTAAAATTCACCATTCGATTTGTAAAATATTCACAAAATCATTGAATTAGTGATCAAATAATTCAAAGCATTAGATACATAAATAAAATCAACACATACATGATAAAAGCACTTGAATCTTGAATTAAAAAAATAAAAATAAAGGGTCTCAATTTGATTACATTATTCGGCCTAATGAAAAACTTAGCTACTCATAATAATGGAAGAAAAACAAAAGATTTGCATTGAGTACATCAATGAGTTTTGAATTGAGATGTAAAGAAGTGGATGAATCTTGCACCAAGTTCCTCATCTTGTTCCAAATCCTTGATTTCTTGTTTTCTCCTATGATTTTGCTCTCTAATTCTCCAAGCTGTGTTCTATGTCTCTCAATGTGTGGAACCCATCTCAATTGTCTCCTTTCTTGTATTTATACTTCTCCTATTATTTTCTTCGAATTTGAAGTTTTCATGGGTTTTAAATGGGTAAAAAATTCACATCCTAGATGATAGAAGACAGTGCATTGATGCCACCTTTTTGTTAAAATTTTAGGTTTTGCGGTGCCTAGGCCCCATGACGCGACACTGTCTCTCTAGAAAAAATCAGCACTACATTTCTTTTAATATTTTTATCTTAACTTTCTCTCCATATGTCCGATTGAACCGATTCAAATGGGTTGTAAAGATAATTCAAATGACTATAACTTTACTAGAAATAGCTTTTTTTCAACTCGAACTTTTACTAGGTAAAAAATGGGTCTAAATTTCGGGCTAAAAATATGGAACATACTTGTGCGGTTAAAAATTGATTTGTGAAAATATTTTCATCTTATTTCATTTTTTTTTTGACTTCTAATTGCATCCAATTGACTCCTAGCATTCTCGAATCTTCATCATGAGGTCCGATACAACTTTTGAGTATTTACACTTTAGTCCCCAAACTTTGGATCTTGCCCTTTTCGTACATTTTCGATTCTTTTTTTCAATTCCACTTCCATGTATCGAGTTTCATCTAATAACACATTTTTAATGAAATCCTTCAAAATTTAGGTATCTTCGATAACTGGTAGATTTATAAAGATTTTATTAATGGATGGTTTTTAAAAGATTTGGATGAATTTCAAGCTTAAAATACATATAATTAAATGTTTTGAAACTTCACCATATTTAATAAAATTCTTATGAAATTTGTGGAAATTTATTCAAATCAATGAAATTCATTAGAATTTATAATATTTTAAAATCCATCAAAATCTTAGTTGAGGACACTCTGTAAAGTAAAAATAAAATATATAAAAATAGGAGTGGAATTTGTTGTCTGGTACAAACTTCAGGGGTGCCTCTATAATTATTCTAAACTAGTGGGAGTCACTATACATTTGTCAAATTCCTAGAGAGAGAGAGGCATTGATTTACCGTAGCCACAAAACTTGAATGAGTTGTATAGGACTTTAACGATTAAAATTCAAATTGGCAATCAGTAACTTCAAAGTCAAGGCTATAAATTTTTCCATAGGGCCATGAGTTGGCCACTTGGCCGGGCCAATTTTGAAATAACTACAATGAACCGCGTCAAAAAGCACTAGTCAAGAGAGATTTCCACAATATTTTTTGCCTTTTCCGCCGTATATGGTCGTCGTTGTGGCTTAAAAACCTAGTTTCCACGCCTTTTCCTTTTCCCCTATAAAGATCCCTCCGTTCATGCTGTTCTCAAACCAAACCATTTCATTAGTCTCTTACGGCATATGTCTCAAAGGACCAACGTTCCAGTGAAAAGAAGGTATCGAAAGCCAGTTCATTCCCATCTCCTGGTTTCCAGTGAGATGAACTCGAATTCCAACTGGTCTTCTTCTTGAAACTTATTCATTCTTTAGGGAAAGGAATCAAATTCCTTGCTCGTATTTCTTTTGTTTTAAGCCAAACAAATTCAGTTTTGAGAATTATTTTTGATAATGGGTTTGAAAGGATTTGTAGAAGGAGGCATTGCTTCGATTATTGCAGGGTGTAGCACTCACCCACTTGATTTGATTAAGGTCCGGATGCAACTCCAGGGTGAAGCGTCTGCACCCAATCCAGCCCTTCGTCCGGCTCTTGCTTTTCCGACATCTGCCCACCACCACGTCCACCTCCCTCCGCCACCCCGCGTTGGACCCATTTCTGTTGGGGTTAGGATCATTCAGCAAGATGGTGCCAAAGCTCTCTTTTCCGGCGTTTCTGCCACAATCCTACGCCAGACCCTGTATTCCACCACCAGAATGGGACTATACGACATCCTGAAGAAAAAATGGACCGATCCCAACACAAAAAACATGCCTTTGATGATGAAGATCACGGCAGGACTCGTGGCCGGTGGGATCGGAGCAGCCGTGGGGAATCCGGCTGATGTCGCTATGGTTCGGATGCAAGCCGATGGCCGTCTCCCTCTGGCCCAGCGGCGCAACTACAAGAGCGTGGTGGACGCCATTTCTCAAATGGCAAAGAACGAGGGCGTAACCAGCCTGTGGCGCGGTTCTTCCCTCACCGTGAATCGCGCCATGTTAGTGACGGCTTCTCAGCTCGCCTCATACGATCAATTCAAGGAAACAATACTGGAAAAACACTGGATGAAGGACGGCCTTGGCACCCACGTGACGGCCAGTTTCGCTGCCGGGTTCGTGGCGGCGGTGGCCTCCAACCCCGTGGACGTGATCAAAACGCGAGTTATGAACATGAAGGTGGAGCCCGGTATGGCCCCACCTTACAGTGGGGCCCTGGATTGTGCACTGAAGACTATTCGGGCCGAGGGGCCCATGGCGCTCTACAAAGGATTTATTCCCACGATTTCCAGGCAAGGACCGTTTACAATCGTGCTATTTGTCACGCTGGAACAGGTCCGGAAATTGCTTAAAGATTTCTAGTACAATATTATGGTGACCTGATGATGACGAAGAAGAATATATATTTTATGTTTAATTTAATTACAAAATTCCTTAGTATTGGGAAGAAGAAAGGAACGTGTCCTACACTATAATTGCAACAATTATATGTTGTGTTTTAGTTTATTTCTTAATAAAGATTGGATTCTGCAGTTAATTACTACTTGAGATTGACGCAACTCTTTTAATATTTTTTTATTTAATACGTTATTTTACGTTCACTTGAAATGCACAAATGAGATCACTCTGTATTATTAATTTAAATCAAGAATATTTAACTTCAAATTCAAACATCATAACTAACTAATATTTATCAAATTGATTACAGCTCTTTCCTTTAATTTTTATTCGAATTTTTCTCATTGATCATCGCGTCATTTATGTATTTCCCACCTTCAATTTGTACACAAAAGTTTTAAGGCCTTGTTTGATTGCACTTCATTTTCATGTAAGATAGAAATTAATTTCATTTTCTACATTTTTGCATATTTGATTGTCCAAATTTTCTATGGAATTGATTTTTCATCATTCACCCACATGCTCACATTTTCTTGATTTTTGAGGAAAAACTTTTTTAGACAATTTTTTTTTTTTTTTTTTTTTTTGAATTAAAAAAATATATTTTTTTTAAAAATTTTTTATAAAATTTTTTTTTTTTTTTTTTTTTTGCAATGAAAACAAATTATATCCCTTTAATGAACAATTTTCATGCAAAATAAAGTCAAACGAACACTAAAACATCCAAAATTTCAATATTTTTCAGATGAAAAATTATACAAATCAAACATAATTAATTGACAATTCCCAATAAAACAAATTCTAGACAATTCAATTATCTGAAAATCATTTTTTTTCTATCCGAATTTCATTCTTGCAATCAAACAGACTCTAAGTGCTCGTTAGGAATTGTTGTACACTTAGATGTTGTTGTAAAAAATTATTTCGACTTAAATTTTCAATGAGTAACTTATTAAAATTCACTCTAAAAATCATTGAGTAGGTTACTTGTCTCGTTTAATTTTTAGTATAAGTTGCTTGGTTGAAGCGAAGTTTTAGCCACCTTTGAATATAAAAACATTGATCAACACAACACGCAAACATTAAATTCAACGGATGTTAGTTGACAAATAAAAATCGCTTAATTAGTATATCATTTCATTTCACCTCATAAAGAATCATCCAGAGTTTGTACATAGAATATTAATCGTATAAACGATTTAAAAATTTAAGTCATTTATAATCACATTTCGAGAAATCGAATATTTATACATTTATAATTTAAAAATCATTCATAAATACTTCCCAAATGTGTTTAAAGTTAATCTCATCAACTAATTACTATCCTCAAACTTAAGATATGCCCGAATTATTGAAATCTAAACTACTAGAGAGATCTATCCAACGTTAGGTGAATACGAAGATCCGATGGCAAGCACCTAGCACATGCCCGATATGTTAGGTAGGTTTGGAAATTTGCGTGTGGACCCTACCTCCAACTGTTTAATGTACAAATAATTCAATTATTAAATTCAAAGAACTTGAAATTTCAAACTCACTTTAAATACTTCCTGTGATATTTCACCGTCTCTGTCTTTTTCCTTGGATCTTTTTTTTTTTTATTAGTTGCAAGTATTAAAGTTACTTATTTTAACAATAAACTAGAATAATTTAAGTTCGATTAATAAAATGAATTATTCAAAATGGTCGGTATAACGACTTCTATGTCTTTTCACTTTTAGTTTGCTCACATTGGGTTGATTGTATCCCGATTTTCATTTCGTCGTGAGTTTGAGATCATCTAGTTGTTTAGTTTTAGTGAGGCTAAACCCTTTACGTGCATCTGAACATTGAACTTGTGATTATTAACTGAAGCAGACAAGCAAAAACTCGAGGTATTTTACACCAAAGAAATATTTTGCTAACAAGAATTGAGAACAGCGACTTTCTATTGTTGCATTTACTTATAGAGAATTGCATTGTGTGCTTAAATTTCAAGACAGACAGATATCATAGAGACCATGAGCATTGGTCTTTCTGCAGCTCCAGAATTGCTGTCCCTCCAAAATTGAGCAAATCCCTCCTCTCTCAGGCTTGATCATGCAAAATATCATCCCTTCACTTCGACTTTCTGGCTATTTTTCACCAATCCACGGAGTGGCAAGCTTATCACAGTATCCATGTTGAGTTACCATCTGTATGTACAGTTACTTACACTTCAGTAGTAGTAGTCATTTTCCTTGTGGTTCACAGCATCCTTACATAGCATCGATCGCACTTCTAGGATAGATCGTGGTGGTTCCAGGTCCTTCTCCTGTAGTGCATTGCCAAGCAACTGTTGCATTTGTGAAGCAAATGTATCGTCCAAGACCTGAAAAAGAAGTAAATACCAACATGGAAAATATTGATAACTCGACCAATATAATAGAAAAGGAAGCGAAAAATCTCTCATTCAGTAAATGAGAGCTTGGGAAAATTCTGTATGTGATCAGTGAAACTTACAGTTACTGCCACTCGTGACGCTTTATACCAGGATCTGTTTTCCTTCCTATCCTCCAGAAACCTTAGCACGTCCTGAATTAAAGAAAGAATCATATAGAATGTGCTATTTATAGAAAAAACACGTATGCTTTTAACAGTAGTATACTGTATACCTGGCCCATCCGATCCCAGAAACCTCGGCACATTATTACAAACACTTGAGTTTCAAGTATAGTTTGTAGTTGATTAATAGTATTGGCCAGCAAATCCTTCAAAGGCTGCATCCTATCCCGTAAATTGGACTCTATTACATTTTCCTTTGCATCTTGGATTATCTTCTTCAAGTTTGTAGCACGCTGCAGTTTTGTCTACACAAAGAAAAATGTAGAAAACAGTGAAACCTTGACACTGCCAAAAGTATGAGCATTTGTAGTTAAAGCTGATGACTTAACAAATATATCCTTTCAAATCAATCAACAAGAGCATATTTTCTGTAGTTTATATATATCTACAGTTCATTCTATTCCCATGTGTCACACGTCTTGCAATACTTAGAGAAGTTCCGAAATGAAGTGCATCAATATAATTATTCCCACATGAATACCTACATTTTCCACAAGTTTATCCATGACTGATTGCAAATAAGCTCTGAATTTGGTTCTAATCATCACTGTTACTTCACTTTGAGACTCTCCCGGGACCACATTACCACTTTCAGGAATGCAGGAGCCCCACATCTTTAATTGTTCTTCTATCGGGGGCCGCAGAACATCAAGCAACCTTTTCATGGAGTTCAGAAGGATTCCCAACTGAAAAATAAATAAATAAAAGAGTTGTTTGCTCGGGAGGGAATGAAAATAAATCACTGTATTGCAAAAAGACAAACTCATAGTACCTCATTGGGGGGGACATAAGGAGTCGAATTACCCTTCGTAAATTTCTGAACATATTTCAGACCTAATTTCATGGGCATTGTGTTCTCTTTTAATGGAGATAAAACTTCAGCAAACTGCTTCTCCAAGCTTTCAACTACTGCCTTCTCAACATCTGCCATGGCCTTTCAAAGATACAAACAGAATGCATACAAGGAAAAAATGAATGGGAGAGAGAATGCAAAAGAAGAGTAATGCAGAAAAGTAAATCCTTGCACATAAAATTATCACTTGAACAAAGTTCAGATGATAATAGAAAACTCAATTAACAGAAACAATATTTCTGAGAATTCAACAGAATTTGGCAAGGGTGATATGTAACTTCACATGTATCTACCTCAATTTTTTGGAGAACAAATCAAAATTCACGTTATTTATGCTGCTAAGTTAAGGCTAACCAACTTCCATAACTGAAATAAATTTTGGGGAAAGCACATTGTTCAGGGAGGGAGGGGGGTGGGGAGAGAGAGAGAGAGAGAGAGATGGAAGAAAAGTGAACAATAAAATGAGAAAGAACTGTACATACACTTTCCAATGCAAAAGTATATTCCGGCCACCGACTGATAATGACGTCATATTCTTTGAGTGTCTCCTTCAGCCGATCATAGATGTCATCAATGAAAGGAGTCGTGGAGTTGGCTGTATGGTAGCTGGACCACTTCGCCTGCATTACACAAGTTTAGTGAGAATCAAAAGGAACACAGAGTTAAACTTATTTCAAAGTTGAATATCTCATGTATGAAGCTGGACCACTTTACCTGGCATTAGTTGAAGTCTAGTGAGAATTAATAACATGTAGTCTAAAACTTATTTCAATATTGATTTCTTAATGTGTAGTTCCCTCTTATTTACAGAAGAAAGAAAAGTGATCCTCCTTCTAAAAATATAGCCGTAAGTCTCAACCTCTTTTCCAAAAGTGTGTATAATTCCCTCTTATTCTACCAAAAAAAGAAATTAGAGTCTGCATAAGTGTAGCCATGATGTAGAAGCAATCCCAAGTAAACAAATGAGCTGTAGGTACACAGAATCCAAGAGATATTACTTATCTAATAGTTCTATGCATTTAAACCATGGATAGCTTCTCTCTACAAACTTGGTGAAAAAATGAAAAAATAACATGCAGATAATCTACAACTGTAATTTATAATGATTAACAGCCTAAGATTTAGTGGCTTGGATCAGTGAAAATTGTTGTTATTTGGTCCCTGTATAAAAAAGCCATTTTACATAAAAGAGAATGGCCTTTATCTATATATCAACATGCTATTTTCTAAGATCAGAATGTTAATTTTAATATCTATCCGCTCTGTTTGCATGAGCATAGGGAACATGCAAGTGGCAAATGGAATAGATGAGGGAAGATGATGCCGAGAATAAAATTTACCTATCTAACAAGAAAAAAAACAAATGACATCAATTTCTGCAGTGATGCAAGACTGCATGAACATTTCAAACAGGTTGGTCATCTATGGATATAAAAATAAAAAGGACACCAAGGGCCAACATTCAACCATAATGGCATTACCGTTCAAGATCACAGCTTCCAGTAATGGGTGGTTAGAGTGACCAGGATAGTGCAATCGGCCCATCAAGATAAACAATTCGTCTATGAATGATCATAAAATACACAACTACTCTCTGTAGTAAATAAAGAGATAATGTCGTACCTTATCAAGCTTGCAAAATTCAAGCATTGCAAGACGCTTCTCCTGGATCCAGACACTTGTATATAAATGGAACAACTCCTTTGCATCAACTCCACCTTTGATTGGACTGCAAAAATCCATTAAGTAAAATATAAACAACGGTGAGTACAACAAGAAAATAAAATGAATTATGACCAATTCCATACCTGATATTCCACAAAGCAAGATCCCTTTGAAAATCAGCAGTTGCTATAACAAGTTCTACAACAGGAGGTGATGGTCCAGCTGGAGGGCATGAAACAAGAAATGCCCGCAATCTACTATGGAGCTCTGTACTATATATGGATGCAGATAGGTTGGGAAGGTCTATGAAACTACACCAAAGCCACAGAACCACTAATCATTATTAAGAATTGATAGTTAATGATCAATTATATAATTTAGAGAAGAAAGAATTCAAGAACCCAGTTACAAATTCTATGGTTCGCTCAGGTTAAATCCAAAACCTCTGTTAGTCAAGAATAACACCTATATGAAGACAGTGAAATTGAAAGAGGAAAGGAAACAAATGAATAAAGTGTTGCAAATACCCAGTGTCAATAACTTCTGGTCCCTAGTTCTGATCATACATAAATAGCACACAATCACAAATACTATTACCAAAGGAAACAAATTACCTAGGGAGAAGATGTTGTTTATGGATTTCAATGTCAGTCAAAATCTCATTTTGAATGTTCAAACAAAGTGATTTCATTTTCTTGTAAGCAGTAGAGAGAGCCACTGGATCCATCAATATGTTTTCGTTATTGCTGGAGACCAAGTCATCTGTTTCTGCCAAGTGCATCCTGGACCTCTTCTTTGCAGCATTCTGCATAAAAGTTAGCCCATTAAAAAGTGGAAACAAGTCGGTAAAAGGGATTGAGTTGAGCTTAAGAAGTTTGCTCACCTGAAAATATCTGCATAATTTCAATTGTGCCTCAGAAGAAAGTATGTCATGCAGAAGCTTGTAAAGTTTCAAAGCAGGAGTAAGAGCAGGAGCCGCCAGTCCAGTAGGAGGTCTGAACACATCGACAATACCAGATGATGACGACTCATCAAGTGACTTGTAATTCTCAAAAACCAAACTAAATATCTGTTCAATTTGATCAGAAACTTCCCCCAGAATACGACCCTGGTCAGGACGCATAAAATTGTCAACATTGTAAATATAGTAACAAAGCCTGAAGTTGCCATCCCTAGAAACTAGATATATTGGGTGATGACAACTGACAAGAGTCAACTCAAAAAAAAAAAAAAAGAAAACAAAGATAAAAGACCTTGTTTGATCCCCATTTTTTTCAAAATACATCTTTCTCTCTTATTTTCAACCACACATTTTTCAATAAAATAATATTACACGCAACTCAAAAAATTTTACTTCATTTTTAACCACACATTCTCCATCAATCTACTATTCCAAAATGTATTCTATACAAAAAAATGGGGCTCAAACAGGTCCAAGATGTGTGATTATGTAATGCAATAGAAGACTAGATAAACACAAAAAGATTATAAGAGCTTCAACCATTATGCACTTTGTTTTAAAATAAATTATATCCAGCAATGAATTACATTCAGGTTGAGTGCCCTGTGCCGTGCTCGGAAAGAGTGAAATACCAAAAACGCACATCACCTTAGGTAGGTCCAGTAACTAGGACCTCACCAACAGATCATATTAACTTAACTTTCTGGCTGATAATACTTTTCTTAGATCCCACAAGGATAATACATATCTAAAAGAGACATGGGGACAGATACTTCATAAATGCCGAGAGAGACTGAGAAAAACCTTTCATAACTTTCATAAATTGCAAACCTTAATAATTTGTCTATAGTCCATATCTGGTAGGGATGTAGGAATACTGATTCCGTAAGAAAATGATACTATTTAGAACTACACAATGTTCTAACTTCCTTTGTTTATTTTTTCTGATGGGCTATGATATTCAGTATTTCAGTAATTACCAAACTCTTACAGAGGATGAGAGGAAGTCTCTACTAGGGAAGTCATGTTCCCAAGTACCGCTTAAACCGCTTAAGATACTTGAGATTGACTCATATTTTAAGAAGAAGCACAAGTTACAGCAGTTATCAAGACTAATATCTATAAATAACTTTTGAATCAAAACGACAGAGTTCCATGGGACGAAAAAGGCCAACATTCGAGATTGGGAAATGAGGAATTTCCTAAAATTTATCAAAATCAGCAGGCCGCGAAACCATGAGACAACATTCAAGTGGACATATGAAAAAACATTGGATTCCTCCTACCTCTTGGTGACTCAATGTGTGTTTAGTTTTGCCTTTCATAATAACAGGTAGAAGCAAATCATTAACCAACTCCAGACAGTCTGAAGTTGGTGTGGCAACATCCATAACATACGAAAGATATCTGCAAAGACGTGGGATTTCAATAAAATAGATTACGTATAATAACAATAATAATCTGGGACAATTATTCTTCCAATAAACAAGTTGATCACAGTTCTGCAGTACCTCAATTTCGTGTATGCATCTGAAACTCCATAGTAAGATGCAAATTCAGTTACCAACCATCTCCAAGAACCATGTAGCAACAAGTTTCTCTGCTGAAATTGTTGTACTTTCATTGCTGCCTCCAGAACACAATCATATGCAATTGTCTCAGCGACAGATGCACACTGACATACATATATCAATGAAAATATATAAGCAAAGAAATTAAGTAGAAAATTTCCTTCATACATTTTAGCTTGTATAAAGATAAAATAACGAATAAGATGTATCTTCCAGACTTCCACGTTCCATAAAATATTCAACACTAACACCAAGATAATACAGACTAGTGAAAAACATAAAAAGATATCTATTGATTATTCTGATAAAATAAGTATCAGGAAATGTTAAAACTAAAACACATGGGATCTTCTCTTTCATGTCATCCTACAATGCAAAGTTTTAATATAGATATACGAATTTGATTGCCAAAAAAGTTTATAATTATTAATAATCCGCCACCTTAAAGTGATTCTGCTGCATAACAATTACGAAGTCAATTCTCACGAAATGTTGATCATTTCCACACACCCGCGCGTGCACACCAAAAAAAAGGGGAAATTGCTCATTGATATATATTTTTACATTGAGTCAATGAGTTCACGGTATACGTTTTATATTTACCTCCTCCAATCTTGTATAAACTACTTATAGTCCTGCAAATATGATTTTCACTAAAATTGCCAGAGGTTATGCTAAACTCAGTATCTGAACAACCCTATCCATATTTAGCAATACACAAGTATCAAAAACTTTGTAGATATAAAATCACTAACAAGAACTGTGGTCATGTTTCCGGAAAAAGAATCTTTCCTCGTTCGGTAAAATAAGGATTAGAGAAGGAAAATACCATCTCACCCATTCAGTATCACTTTCCCAAAGCTTTTGAAAAGAAATTTTATGAAGTGGCTACACATTAATTTAACTGGAGGCTACTTTATTTAATTAAAATTTTATAAAACGGAATGATTGAAATTGGAACCATTCATAGCATGCTTGGCAGTGCATATATGTGATTATAAATTGTAGGTCATGCGAAATGTATGGATAATAAGTAGATAGTAAATGTAAGTCATACGAAATGTGTATATAGAGAGTATGATTGACTAGGTTAAATTATAATTTAAGCTATGCCAAACATACAATCAGGTTGACTAAACAAACATATAGAACTTGGTAAAATGAAAGGGTTGAATAATAAAACCATTAGATTATTTTGGAATACACATTTAAAGATGAAAATTATCCACAACCAGAAGCAAATTGTGATTGTGCCTGAAGAAATAAACATAAAATAAGGTGGACCTAGGACAGCTCGGACATTTGTCAGTAATTTTGAGACAACCAGACAGAATGAGCAAATTAAGTCTGATTCAATTATGAAGTCGGAGATAAATCTAGTACTACAGAGTGACATTACCTTATTACTGTTTTCAGTGGGAGTTGTCGAATAATTTAGATTCAACTGTATTTTCCCAACTAGTTCATGTTTTGGCTCATGATATATAGGCCATGAACGAAGCCTCTCTCCCTGCATCAAACCCACAAATGTAATCACTCTAACCATGCAACAGTTTTTGCAATCAAAGGTGGTCAAAAAGAGATGACTATCATACCAATTCTTCAGCAATATCAGCCACCTGAACTATAGCATGTCCAAAACACTTTCCCTTTGAATCGTGGACTTCAATTATCAGATCATCTCCAAGCCCTTCTGGCAAGCTGTATTCAAGTGGCAAGAATATTTAACGATCCATGCCTATGAGATTGAGCAAGTAACAAGTTTTTAGAGTAAAAGAAGACATACAAAACACGAGTTTCACCAGATCCTGGCTGCATTCTCACTGCATCCTCATCGGGCGAACTTTTTAGTCTCAATAAACAAGAATATGATTCTGTCAACAAGAATTGAAATTCCTTTTAGCAAGATAATCGATATGAAAATGGAAAATAGGATTTTTTATTTTTTTTTTAGTGTAAGATGCATGTCCTCGTAGAAATAAACACAGTTTCATCTCGTGTTAAAATAACAAACCAACATGAATCTATCAATAACTAAGGGGCTGTTCTTTTCGTGTTTCAGTTTTTAGTTTTGAATTTATTTTGAGTTTTGTGCTTTGAGTGTCCATTTTGAGATTGCTGAAAACGCGTTCTTTTTGCCATTTTAAAAAATTGTTTTCAAAAAAAAAATAAAAAAAAAATGAAGTTTCGGCTTGATTTTAATTGAAAACGGTCAAAACGACTTTTTTGGCGTTTTCCATTTTTTTTTTTTGTAAATTTTAAACTCGTTCTTGGAAATTCGTTTATGAAAATAGGTAAGTAAACGTATTTTCAGTGTTGTCGAAAATTGAAAATTAAAAATGGTCTGAAATAGTAAAGAGAACATGCCCTAATAATTCCCAAACTATCTGTTTTTCTCCAAAAATAATATTAGGATGGGAACGGTTTGGTTCTCCATAATTCTTGTAAGAGCTGGATCGAGCTGGTCATAACTCCAATTCTTTAGTATAGAACCAGTCCTTCACTACGAAAGTGCAGTACAAATACGGTCCAGCATCGTAACTATGGTTCAGTTCTTTCGGGAATTGAGGCTTAAAAGATGGACTACATTAGGTACTCACTGAGGGTGCATAATTTGATTATCTACAGTAAAATACTTATTTATTTAATATGTAGAAATAAGAAGAAAGAAGAAAATTGGTCAGGTTCTGAGTTTCACCGTGAAACCCGAACCAGCATGCCTGCATTGGGTCTGAAACAGTTCTACCACTTCCAGCTAATGTTTTGCCATCCAAATGTAATATACTCTTCAAGTATCCTAAATCACATTTCACCACTCTAGCCAACCAAGTAGGTTGGAGTCATCAAGTTAAACTTCCACAACATAAACACTAAACCAATTGAACTCCGCCTTTATCGTCAAATGTTGCTTAATAAAGAAGTCGAAGTAGCATAAACATTTTTATTTCCCAAATATATTCATGAAGTTTTCGAATTTAAAAAGGTTTAAGAGGCAAAATAAAATTTAATTCCGATAAGAGTGTATTTTAAAAATTATTAGAAAATACAGTACAAAATAGAGCATATCAGAAATCTATGCGATATTAAACTTTATACCAAAGAGAACTGATGAAGAGGATATACGACCAATAATCTGTCCCATGGCCACTATAAATAGAATGGGCATGACTATGAGAAAGGATAACAAATAGAGGACGAATATCAAAAGTTATAACCCATCAGTTGCAGGATTCTTTTGACACAAATTGCCTACGTACCTTGCACAACTTCACAAGATGAAGAACTGTTGCGCCAAGCATTGACACCAATTTTAATGAGCTCAGGAACTTCTTTCATGTACCGGCGAGTTCCAACAACTATATATGTCATACTTTGCTGTAAAAACGATCCATCGATAGGAACTCTTGGGGTTACATGTGCTTTTTGCAGCACTCTCCTCTCAGAAGAGAAAATTGATTTTACATTGGATAACCGACACTGAAATGATTCCAGCTTTACTATAGACGATGACTTTAAAGATGAAAATGTGCAGCCCATAGGTGGGTCCAGACCCATTTTCACTCTTTGCACTGCAAAATAATCAGCAATAAAGAGGATCTTTAATACACAACGTGCAAATTTAGTCATGAAATAACTTTCTTTCAAGAAACATCTATAAGAACCTTGAACTTTAATCTTGCCAATGGTTTTCTTCGTTTTTACAGAAGCTCCTTCGCTGACAAGTTCTGAAGACTCTTTTCTCAGGAGTTCTTCCTCCGATTGTAATAATACATGTTTCAACCTACAAATACAACAAGAATTTGTAAAAAATAGCTTACACTAGAAGTGCGAAAATCAGAATATTCAAGAAAATTAATGTTTATCTGTGCATAAGATGCTAAGAACTAATGGTCTTTGAAAGGGAACACGAGCATAATTTTTGTATTTTCGACTTTAGAATTAGATGGAAGTCATCAGATATGATATATGAAAACCACGAACTTCAAGACTCTAAAACAACAACACAGCTTTACAGTACGAAATACCTTCGCGGAGTTCGAGGGAAGAACCCAGAACCCGCCTTCAACCCACTCGAATTTTTAAATAAGAAATCAAACCCGAAACAAAGACGGCGGAGACTCCAGGCACGTAATGCAGCAAATGAGCTCAATTCTTTCTTTAAAAAGGTGAGAGTGAACAATGTAAAAAAATCGACAATAAAATCCAATTATCATGCAACAAATGCCCTGTAATGGCACAAAATAACCATATAGAGATTGAAAACATCAGTAAGGATCTCACCCAAAAGCATCCCTCAGCAGTGCACATTCATTTTTCAAAAACACGGGAGCTTCCATGCAGCCCTTCGCCCAAGAGTGAAGACATAGCCGAACACATGCCTCATAGGATATAACACCATACCAGTAACCTAGCCCACTGTATCCGGTTTGGATGATGAACAACATTATATAGAAATAGTAGATGTTTTGCTTCAAAACGGGCTAGAAAGAGAACTGTGAACTAGAGATTTTTTTTAGGACCAAACCGCAGGATATATCATGGAATAATACAGCCTAATACAAAAGAATTTAGATGCACCTTGCGTGAAATGTAGGATATTGAGGAGATAAAGAATGAGAAGATACAGCCGCAGTCCTGTGAAATACCACTGTTAACTTTATTTCATCAGAGTAAGGCTATAAGCAATTAACCTGGTCTGGGTGGGGCTGTAAGGAACATTTACAAACACAGACATTCGCGTACCTTACTGATGGTTCAGGAGTCCTGACTTCTGTTGCACCCAAAGGCGTACCCTTGTATGCATTAGGTTCGATCACAGTTGCAGAACCACCTGATGTTGTTGAAAAAGTAGCAATATTATCTTTAGATGACACAGGTTTTTCAGCAACTTGATTAACGTGCCGAAAAGAAGAAGTCAGTGGGGGTGCACTGGCAATACAGTCATCATAGAACTTCTTACTCTGCATTGGCACACTGCAGAAATCCTGCAACCATAGAGTATGAAAGAAAATCTGAACAGTATATCACAGTAATTCACCTGTGTTGATAATAATAATAGCAGGAATAAATAGTATTAGGATGTACTTGAAGCAGTAGTTGCAGCTAGCTATAATTGTGACATTAGGAATACTAATAGATAATGACAACAAATAACAACAGATGAAGACGTAAATGAGGTTTACCATGTTAATCTACTATTCCTAACTCTCTATTTGACAACAAAATTTGTTGATCTCACCAAAAATCCAAGGGAAAAAGGACTAAACATCTTACAGAGGGTTCTTCAAGAGATTAAAATGACTGACAAATAATTGAGCAAATCAGTACACAACAACATACAATTGCACCGAATTATCGGCAAAAAAGAAATAATATTTTGGACCTCCTCATCAAAAAAGCGCCAAAGAAGAGCAAACAATTCCTAGTGCATGAGGAAGGGGGATTGCAACATGAAATGTCTCCGGGACTAGCCATAAAATATCAGATTATAGATTAATACAACTTTGAAGGTTTATAAAACAGTTGAGCATAATATTTGACAAAGCAATGCAAACATCAAATTTAAAACATTCTAGCTGGGAATGAATCACAGAGTGTATTCCGAGCACACCTCATTAGTCCAAAAAGAATAACAATCTTCCAAGTATGTCTTAGTCACGCCTACTACATAAGAGCAGAGGTCAGAAGCTCTTACCTCTTCATTTGGCTGCAATTTGACACGAGAGCTGTAAGCATCTGGCACGTATGTTTTGCTGGTTGGCATAGAATTCACTTCTGAGCTTGTTAAGGAGTCTGATGGTTCGTCATAGACAGAATCCAGGCATCCCACTGGAAATCTATCACCGAGCCCTCCTGGACTCCCCAAGTGATTCCTGTGACTGCCAGCATTATCCATACGCCCATTCAATGAATTTTTGTATATAGCGTCAACATTGGAAATTTTGTTGTCTTGCGGAGATGTTTCAAGTGAATGTTGTGCACCACTGAACTCGTTGTCAGAATCAGACCCCATATCCATGTCAGATCCTGCTGGGCTGTCTAAGACTTTGCCTACATTTACAGCTCGTGAAACTGGCACCACCCCGGATGGCATATACCCACTCTGAAATCGAGATACTGAAGGCAATCCAGAATTCCGGGCACCATATCTCTGTTTCGACATAGCAAATCAACTGTATCTTCCCCTGTGAATTTCATTATAAATCAACTGTATCAATTATAATTAATAATTTAAATTATAAAAAAGTTGTGAATTTCATTCCAGACCAGAGAATATCTATGAAAATTATTTGGATCCACTCATCCACAGGCAAACGTAAGCACTAAGAGGGACTAACAACGAAAAAGATCAGAACTCAAGCAAAACTAATACGTCACGCAGAGAGTCACATACAACACATATTCACAGATAATCAATGCAAAGATCATAACTTTTTGATGAAAGAGGAAATGCACCGAAAATGGAAGTAAAAGGGAACCGAATGTATAATTTTTCAATATAAGTTGATGAAACCCAGTTACTTTTTTCTCTTCTTCTTCACTCCAGTCTTTCTCAGCCGCCAAAGAGATTTTTACCGCTTTGTGAAGAACTTACACTGTAAAACAAATGTAGAAGAAAATCCAATTTCCCCAATATCATAAAAAATTCAGTGTTCCAAAAAGGTAACAAATTTTGATACAATGTACCCCAATATTTACCATTAATACCCACGAAGTAAAGAATCCGAAAACGAAAAGGAAGAGAATGTAACTATGTGAGTTTGACTGGGAATACAAATTTGTAATCTTAGACAATTCAATTATAGTATTTATTTGTAAGAAAAATAATAATTAAATGTGTTTCATCGATTTATTTTTTAATTTAAAATTTATTATATTTATTCATTTTTTTTATCAATGAATAAATAGGAGAGAGGAATAAAGAGTGAAAAAATAAAAAGCTACTCCTCTTTTGAGAAAATATTTTTTTTATTTTTGAGAAAAATATGATCATATGATCAGAAGTCGAAAAATATTTTTCGTGAAAAAAATTGTCAATCCAACTTACCTACTGGAATTAACATTCCTTTTTCTCTTTTCCCATTTCAATAAGCCTTTTATGTGGGGTTCTGCTATTTAAATTAAGGTTTTCTCTTATTTAAATTCAAGATTTTCTTGAGATAATACTGTTTTAAATTTGAAAAATGATATTCTTCCCCAGTTGGAATGCATCTCCAGTCTACGTGGATGTTAATAATTTCACCCATCATTTAATCAATCATTTACATCCACGTAGACTGGAGATGCATTCCACCGGGGACAAATAACATTTCTCTTTAAATTTTAATAACCTAAATTAAAATTAATTTTGTTTTAAAACGAAAAAGGGGACGTTAAAGCGATGCAGAAATTAACGCAGCGTGGTCGCGTGGATGGGAAAACGAGGATGACGTGGTGTGTCCCATTACAGCGGTCGGTCACTAGTGGCGCGGCTTTTGGGGTTTCTGGTTTACAATTATTTTAATTAAAAATCTAATATATAACAATTAACATTTAAAATAAAAGAAAAGGAGAGCGTAGACTGCCAAGAAAAGTAGATGAAAGAAAAATATATATAGTTCTGAAAAGTTTATAATAATTGAGATATATTTGTCTCTTAACATTCTACGAAGACAAATAATGAGTTACTAATTTTGCTATTTTAGTAGAGAAAACATAGTTCATGTCTTCTCTTGTATATAATACTAGTGGAGATCGTGCGTTGCACGATAATCGTTATAATTTTTGTAATTCTAAAATTGAACAATGGAAAAATCAACTTCTACATGAAAAAGAAACTGATAATAGAAATATAGAAAGTATACTCCTTTTCAAAATATATTAGATATTCATATTATCAATTACGTGTATCTTATTGCATTTAATATAATTGTTTTCACCACGAATACGGCAAAGAAAAAGAACTTACTGATATAGTGCCACAGCCCACAGGATTCCCTCAAAGTTCTTGGGTTCAAATCTCCCATTGACTACCAATCTTTATTGACCATCAAGTGATCCACTTGTTCCCATATCAGCCAGCAAGAAAGTCATAACATGCTCTGGTTGCCTATGCATCCTATACTTAGGAACACCACATTGAGAAAGTTATAATCTAAGATAGTGTCCAGAAGGGGTAAATATAAAGCAACATTAGAAACGTTACCAAGCACAGACAGCAAAGAATAATTTATTCAACTATAGGAAAAAGAGAAACAACCGTCACCAGGTACAAAAGGAACAAGGAATTGGAAATCAGGAAAATCAATATGTAACTTTAAAAGTGCAAAAATCATGCCCCAAATTCTTGTGCAAACCAAAACACAGAGAAAAATTGAAATAGGAGAATTAAGGGTTCGTTTGAGCCCTCTTTTTTAGGAAAATATATTTTGTAACAGGGATTTTTTTATTGGAGAATGTGGGCGCAGTTAAAAAGGAAAAGTTTTGGTTTACACGTAAAATTATTTATTGTGAGAATGTGTAGTCGAAAATAAATTTTTTAAGAATGGGATTCAAACAGAAGTTAAATCTAATTTCGTCCCCCTTGGCACAACAGGTTTAATGCAGTAATCTATTGGGCTCTAATGGACCAAATTATTAACGAAAAAGAAAATTATCAACTGGCAAAGCTGAAATAATTTAACGAAGAGGAAACGACATACGTTTTGCAAAGATCCATGAAATCAACAAAAGCAGTTTTCTTTGTGCCTTCGCGAAGAACTTGAGGAGGCCTCATAACAGTCCTACACCGATCTCCAGCAAGCTTAGGATTATTTTCACGGAAGATGTTGAACACTCTTCCTAGAAGCTGTACAAGGATATTTAAAATGGATTAAAAGTAAGCCCACATTGTATTAAATGTATATATGTCTTCACATGTATGTTGTGATTATATGAACAAATGGGATTGTAAGCTATATCATATATGCTTCTTACAGAAATAATGTACATATATATTAGCACAACCATCGCCCACTTGGGTAAAAAAAATAAATGAAATATGAGTGTAGAATACTCATCTCCCTAGAAGAGAAATGATAAGAGTAAGATCAGAAGATTTGTGCGCTCGATACTGGTCTATGTGGCTGACATTGGCATATACAAGTTGTAATCGTCTCGTCCAAGAATATTTGATCAACCAAAGTGGAAGCCAGTCGGTTTGTAGGAACTACTATTAAGAGTAGGAAGCATGTTAATTGCAATGACACCAGCTACCAAGGCAGATATTGATGCCAGGACAAAAGCCGGTATATTTCCACCACCAAATAATTGGTCCCACGGACCCGCACCAAGGGACACAATCATTTAATGAGAAAAAGAAACTATTTTATATCAGAAAATCATCTGTAGCACAAACAATGACAACTCAAATAAAATGGCTATATTTTGTTTCAGTTATCATCTACATTAGTTGGCCAAAGCCTATTCAACATTCATAATCAAGCAAAACAGGCAACCGACAATAAAGAGAATAAACTACCTGAGGTAAGACTATAGCAAGATTTAGTACTCCAATGGTGAGCCCTGATTTCTACAACTCCAGAATTCTACTTTTCAGATAAATAATATCATATTTCTCTACAGACTTTTACCAGTCTCAAGCTCTCTATTTAGAGCTCCATTTTTCTTATTTTAGAGCCCCTCCTTTACCAGAGTTTCCAGAGCTCTTTATAACTCATTTACCAGAGTTTTCGAGCTCTATATCAATGATAATAGGAAAATGAAGCCCAAGTTTGAGCCCCATTTTTTCTCTTTTTTTCCCATTCAAACTGAGACATACAAATAAGACAGACAAGAAACCAATTAACATATTTAAAACTCTACCTGACCAGCAAGAAGGTTACATAGCCAACATTGCTGAGGATCCAAAAATGTTGTATGGTTGGTCATGGCAAGAACATAGTTTCAGATTTTTTTTGCCAAAGAAATGGAGAAAACAACAGTAACCAAAAATCTAAAAAAAATGAAGAATCTGAACGCTATGTATTGAAGGAAAAAAGAGATGAAATACATACATTTTGGATCTATCCTCTCCATTCCTTAAATGTCCCTGATTTAGTTCTACATAAAATCACAAATAAAAATAGGAAAACCCACATCAGAAATACCCACAAGTCTATGTCTAGATGGAATTGCAAAATGACCAAAAAAAGTTAGTGTTTACTACAATAGAAGATGCTTTCTAAAACCGATTTCATGCATCAAACACATGCACAATATTAAGTATTAGAATAAATAAATAAAACGAAAAGAGAGGAGAAGAAAAGTAGTTCATAAATTAAATGACTCTTCTTCCAAACATGATGACACCATTTTACTAAATGTAATTAACACTTTCAATTACAGATCCAACGTCAACACAATAAATGGGAAAGACCTTACTAAAGATACATCATTATCATTATAGAAGAAATTTCACCTTGGTACCAATTTGTACTCAGTTTTAAATTAGTGGATCGAAATAGGCCACAACCCATCATTTTATTCAATAACAGAAAATACATAATGCATTTGTAGCATATAAATTATGTGTACATACCAGCCCTTGCACCCTTCACACTGCACCACGACATCATCTGGATTATGAGACATCCCACACTTACAATACCTATAGAAACATAAAACACAGTGTATTATTTGAAGTATATAAATTTTTGAAGGAAGAAGATAAAGATAGATATGACATCTTAAGACTATACCAATTATAATTCAGAAGAAAAGCAAAGAAGAATAAGCAAAATGAGGTAGATGAGAAAGTTGTAATCTACTAAAATTAAATGGAATAGAGAGCACCATATTAGGTCTACTTTACAAGGAAGTCTTATTAATTAACTTCATACTGTTGCAATATAAGCATAATTATGGATTATCCTAACACTGAATTGTGAATTAGATCACGTTCATGTCACTCAGATAGGAAAACAATTAATTAATTTAAATTGAATGACAAGAACAATGTAGAAATAAGGGTAAGAAACCTAACAAAGGCTTTTGGAATCACCAAAAAGACCTCAAAAGACAATCTTGAAGTGCAAGAAAGATCTTCAAATCTTCCATCAAATTATTAACATCCATCATAAAACTCACGTGGCTAAGGAAAAATAGGAGGGAAATAAAGATGGAGGATGCAAAGCAGAGATTGTT